TTCTGGCCCCCCACCAGAGAAGGGAAAAGTTATGTGGCCCTCACAGGAAAAAGTTTGGGGATCACTGCCTTAGATTAAATAGACAGTAGCCGTGGAAAATGGTTGAGATTCGGGGCATTTCCTGCTGCGCGGATCTCAGTGAGCTGTTTGCAGTAGAGCCAAACAGTCCTGAAGGGGTCCTGCTTGACAGGATTATAAAACATGGGGTGGTCCGCATCCAAGTCTGAGCAAGCAGCAACATGGGCCAAGGAATTTCAATGCTAACTCTCTAATACACCGTTATGTTCAGCAAGAGCAGCGTTAAAGTAGCATAGATCTTGACTCTAGAGTAGACAGTGAGTTTACCTTCTGTAAAACGCAAAGTCAGTGCAAACCTTATAGACAGGTATAGCCTGGGGCATACTAGCACAAAGGACTAGGGATATTCCCATTGGGTCAATGGGTAAGTGGGCCAGTGTTTTAGAGCGCTGGTGTATTAGTGGGACACACTTCAGGGAGTGTGTTAGAGGGCACTCTCCCTGAAGTCACGCAGCACACTCTCGTTTTGCAGCACCACAATGCCTGTGTCACTTTGACCGGCGGAGGCTCTGCGGTCAGGAAAGGAGGCGAGGCAACAGAATGTAGTTGAGATGGATTTATTTGAAGCTGCAGGTCACATTGTCTCATTTTCCCAGTGAGACAAAGAAGGTGGCTTTTATACTTTGGGCAATTCCAACACTCATACCAGGAACAGGGGTGATAAAACAAAAGAAATAAACATTTACACAAACCTAACACAAAACAATAAATGGTACCAACACATATTTACATGCATGCAAATCATTAGAACTAACTAAGATCAATCAAAGAATAAATTTTACTTAATATAACTCCTCAGAGTATTACCCTGCTTAATTGAAAATTGTATGCTCCGGGAACTGTTTAGCAGCACCTTTGTCTCCCTTTGCTGCTCCACCCTGCTGAGGACACACACCCAGAAAGGAAAGTACTCAAACAATTAGCAAACTCAAATTAAACCAATCTAAATCAGAAAAAAACTGAAATTTACCCCCACATTCTCCCTGAACAGGAAAGACAGCCAGTCTGCCCACCCAAAAAGAATGCCTAAAACATGTTTGCTCATCATTTAGTTAAGTGACTCACAGTGAGTAGAGCAACCAGACATTTTGCACAAGAACAGCAGTACCACTAAAAAGTAGGATGCTGTAAAACTACACCATAAAATAATATTTTTTTCATAGAAAGGAGTAAATGTAACTAGTTTACAACCCACCTCTGCAAACATGTGACTGCCATGACAGCATAGATCAATATAAGTAAAACTTGAAGTCCCAGCAATATACACGAACAAAATCTTGCAACATGTAGTCCTGGGATGTTTAGCTCAAATGGGGAGAGATGTCTATATTTATAAGAAGCCGATTCATGTACTGAGCTCGGTTCATTTTGGTAAACCGAGGACCCTCCGCCTTGGAGGTTCAAGTCCCAACTTCTGCTACCAGGTGGTGGCGGTATACGCACAACCACACCTGTAAAATGAGGAAGAAGAAGACGGGGCTCTCACTAAAAACTACACTGGCGCATATCGTCTAAAGGTAATAACGTTTGATTCTTTTGTAATGTTTAGTGTATTTACAGCCTAATTTCGACCATATCTGCTTATTTTTCCTGGTGCTTTTATATCAGAGGCGTTTTCCGGTAACGCAGCTTACAACGACTCAGCTGACATGTGCTGAAAACATCCAGTGCTAATACAGCCCTCTGTTAGTTTTCTTTCTTATCCACGTTGCTTTCACTAAAGCTAATGCCCAAACCTTTTCTATGAAGTTTGTCGAATCCACTTCAGATAGCGATCCTTCCACTTTTTCAGTCCTTTTCGGTGTTTGAATGTAACTCGGCATTTAATTGGAAAAAAAAAAACATTCCAAGATCAGGTTGGAAGTACACATGCTGTACTTCTCTTGTGTTTATTCATCATTCGCCTGTTTTCCATCCAGTTAGTCCTTCCACCAGAGAGTGGAATATATATATATATATATATATATATATATATATATATATATATATATACACAAAACAGTAAAATAAGTAAGTAAATAATAAAAAGATTAATTGCAGTTAATTAATTCTACAACAATTAAGCTGTTGTAGAATCTTGTTGTTCTGGTTCTATATCAGCCAGGAGGATTCTGATTGGTTCAGAGCTGTTTCACTCTAAATGCTTATTTAGATTCCCCAAAATATAATTGGACGTCTTAATATAATAATAATAATTAAATGGACTTTAATTATGAGATAAGAATGAGCTTGTGATTCTCTCAAATTTTATATTTTTTGTACTTTAGGAACAAACAGACAAATTTGCTTTGTTGTTTTTGTTTATATTGTTCATATGTTTGCCTGCTGTGATAACAAATTTTGCTGGATGATAAATTGTTCCAGAAGTTAAAACGATAAAAACTGATGTTGTTTTGAGGCCATTTTTAAGTATCATAATACTAATGGTAGAGTAATGCAAGAACACATTCTCAGAGATCAATAAACTTTCAATGAACATTTAACACTGCTAAACAATGTTAAACAGGAAGACATTTTAAATATCCAAAATAAATAAACAAATGCAACAACAAAAACAAGAATTATAATGAATTATGAAGTCTTGGTAAACACATTTCTCCTTCATAAAAAAGTGGATAGTTGAGATCAAAGCACCAGACTGAACACTTATCATCCAGTTTTTAGTAGAAATGCAAATGGAAATTTTTCACATGTATCATGCAATTAATAGGCTTATTGTGACAGGCCTTCATATTGTTAGCTTTCTAAAATAATGGTCTACATAAATCACAGCCTTTTATTATAGCCAAAGGATGATTTGGGCAAAAGGAAAAAGTCACTGTTGGCAAAAAATGGCTTTTGCCATTATTTTAGGAAGGTGATGATATAAAGTCGTTGATCAGTTTTTCATGAGCTTAAAAGGTTTCCTGAACATCCTCCTGCTGTTTCTAGGCCTTCCTTCGAAGCCATGACCAGGTGGGCGAGAGCCAACAACGTCCACAAACACAAACCAGCCGAGGCGACTCCCTGGAATCAGCTCAGATCAGCCGGAAGAAGAAAAGATGGAGGTGTGCCTGCTGGGACGTCACGGCCGGATCAGACGGACCCTCTGAGAAAGACCCGTGCCGCCGCCGAGAGAAAGCCCAACCGCAAGAAGAAAGAGTACACCAGCGAGGACGTAAACGGGTTCCTGGATTACCTGAAGCAGAGCGGTCAGGACGGAGGCAGGGAGACGGAGGCGGAGCTCAAGGAGACGGTGGAGGTGGCCCTGAAGAAGGACAGGAGGAGGGAGGACAGGAGGGTGAAGAGGCAGAAGGACAAGAAGAGTAAGATGGTGAGCTCTGCTGAAGCTGAACCAATCAGTGGCCTGCAAATGTTGGCGTACTCACTTCTTGTCGCTTTACAAACTTTGCTTGGATTTTAGTAGTTTATCATTGGGAAGCGGAAGGAAAATAGTTTTCACAACAGTGTGACGTGCGTTTGTATTAAGTCAATTCTTGAAGCAGTTCTCTGATCGTCCTCTAGGTCACAATGACACATTTACACATTTAGCTGGGTGATAAATTGTCCCTGAAGTTATTGTAATAAATTATAATATTGTTTTGAAAGCATTTTCAAGTATTATAATGGTAATGGCATAATAATGCCATAACATATTCTCAAACTTTAAATTCTTATAAACATTTAACAGTAGAACTAGAGGACATTTGAAAAACCAAAAATAAATGAACAAAACAATGAAAGCAATCATGAACTCCCTGTAAACAGAACTGTCCATCAAAAAACTCCCTCTCCCTGTCTCTCTCTCTCCCTGTCTCTCTCTCTCTCTCTCTCTCTCTCTCCCCCCTCCCTCCCCCCCCCCCCCCCCCCACACACACACACACACACACACACACACCCCACCTGGACCAAGCCTGACTCCACGTCTGCATGTTCAGCTTTTGTAACTGTAACTATGTCCTTCAGGTGAATACCCGTATGCTAAATGCTTCATCTGTGGTCAGACTGGACACCTGTCACGCTCCTGCCCTGACAATCCCAAAGGGCTCTATGCTCAAGGTACATACACACATATGGAAACACCGTCTCTGGTTCCTGGTGGATGTTCTACAGGTCGAGACGTGACAGAGGGTGGTTGTGTTTGCAGGCGGCTGCTGTCGTGTTTGTGGTTCTGTGGAACATTTCCAGAAGGATTGTCCGGAGCATCAGGCAGCAAGTGAGTTTCAGACTTCTGATTGTTTAAAACACAATTGCCGTGTTTCCATGAAATAAGACAGATAATTAAAATCACATGTGTATGAGTTTGTTCACACAGTGAGTCGTTAAAAAACAACATGCCCGCCATCATCTGCCTCCCACGTCCTGTTATTTTCTTCATGGTTTGCCCCGGTGCCAACATCAGGCTGTTCATCATGTGAAACAATGTTTCTGGGCTGTTATGACATGTTGATGATCTTTTTTTTTTTTTTCTTCCTTTTTTTTAGACATAATGACCCAAAGTCATTTTGCACAATCATCTAACAATGTGAGCTTCCGTTAAACCAAATGGTGAAACTCTGGAGTTTGTGAAACATTGAATTTAGTGCATAAATCATTGGGTCATGACCTCCTGCTGGGCGTCACCTTTGACTCATCTCATTTTTTACAGTCTGTGTTTTTGCACAGAGTCAATTCTAATAAGCTGCTGCAATGCCACATTATGCAGTAACTGACTCAAGATGTAATAACGTTACTACAGATGTGGCAGAAAGTACAGCTAAATGTATTGAAAGATTTCATTACAATTTTATTTATATAGTGGCAATTTACAACAAATGTCGTCTCCGGGGACATTTTCCACTGATCGTTACGAAAAGCTCATTTTTTTTAGAAACGATACTTTAATAATGTGGCGCATATGTAATGAACAATCATCCTAATTATTTTATTTCTAATCATGTAGATCCTGTACGCGTCTTAGTTGAAATAATGCTGAACTTCTGGTCGTTTAGTTGCCTTTTCAGAACCTTTGTTTTATTAACATGTCGTTCAAGACAAAACGGTTCAAACGGCCCTCACGGATTTTATTACATTTAGTGTTTATTGTTATGTATTGGGGTTTTAAAGATGTTTTATGACATTTTAATGCTGGTTTTTATTACATTGTTACATACTGTGACGTCACAACCTTTTGTCCCTGGATTGATGTCGGTTTCACCTTTACAGTTGGAAACTTTAGCTGTTTCCCATGTCTAGTTTCCTACAATTAATGCCAAAGAGAGGAAGGAGAAAACCTCCCCTGGCTTTGTGGAACAGAACTAGACCATTATGTTGAGTTAGACTCATGTACGAGTCTTCTGGGGTTTTCATGTGTTTAATGTGTCATATGTATGTGTTGGTCCTTCCAGCTAACTCGGTGACTCTGGGCTGGTTGTCCAACAACATGAGCGCAGACCTGGAGGACGTTCACGTTCCAGTGAAGAAAGCCAAACCCAAGCAGGCCAAAGTGATCACCTTCTGACGGGACCTGAGAGGACGTCTGAACCTTCACCTGGTGGACTCTTTGGAACCGGACTGATGGGTCAAAATGTGACACACAATCACTGAAGTTTTGTTTCAAATGTTTCCTGTGGCGTTGGCTCATCCAGTCTGCTGGAGGTGAATCATCACTGAATGTGTGAATACTGGCTGACGTTTCGCCACATAACAACTCAGGAAAGCCAGACTGTCCGACCTGAGCTGTGTACCGCTGGTGTTCATGTGTGTTTGCAGAACGTATTAATTATGTTTGTCTGTTTTACTTCAGACATCAACTGTACAGCACTTCTAATACTGACGGAATAAAACTAGGGCTGTAACGTACAGTTATATTAGTAATCGATTAATCTATCAATTATTCTGACGATTACTCAGAAAAAAAAAACTGGCATATTTTACAGTTTTTTCCTTTAACCACTGAAGCCTCTTGTATGCAATACATTAAAAGAAAAACATTAAAATGGATTCAAAACCTTTTCTAAATAAAAAATATTTTATTGCCTAGAATGCTATTCTTTTGTGAATCTGAACCAGGTGAAGCTAAACCTATACCACTTGAGGAATTTTGGCTAAAATATACAGTCACAGATGTTTTTGTCTTAAATATAAAATTATTTTCTTTTTTTACAGTTTTGTCTGAATTACTGCTCTGAATGTTTTTTTCTCTCAATAAAATAACCTTTTTTGAATCTGTATATTCCAGTTAACAATCAGTGACTAAGTTAGTTGAGGATTATTTCAATAGTCGATAAACAGAGAATGTCACAAACTCCTAAACCAACATCCAGAGCACAGGAAGAGAGCGACTGGTCTTGGTAAGATGGACTGATTCACACAGCAGCAAAGATTTTCTCCAGATGGAGGTGGAAAAACGACAAAAGCTTTTATTTTCTTTTGCGTATCTTTACAGCTGCTGCATCTTGATGTTCTCTCTAGAAAACGAAGTGAATCTGTAGCCAGGCAGCTGCTGCTGGCTGCCAGCTCACTGAAGATGATTACGCAATTTACATGAGTTTCATCCACTGTGTGCGTGTGTGTGTGTGTGTGTGTGTGTGTGTGTGTGTGTGTGTGTGTGTGTGCCTTATAACAACACAGAGGACTGATTCTAATGTCTCCTGTTTCCAATTTGACAGCAGCTGTGAGAGGGTCTTTGGACAGAAGATTGTTCTGCTCTTGTTGGATTGCCCAATATCCCGCCTGCGAGCCCCAAACTTTAATTCTATGCGCAACACTTTGCAGGGGGGCCTTGTGGTAATATTCTCATTATTTATGACAAGTAGAATAAAAATAGACCCTAGTAACTTCTTATGACAGCTATGCAACTTTTCTCGGCCGTGAATGGAAAAAGTAGTAAAGGAAGGCAAAGATGTAATTCTTCCAGACATACGAGGAAAAAAAGAACAAAAAGGGCATTGTGTATCAGAAACCACTACCTTAAATCTAAATCAGACATGGAGCTGGATGTTAAAAGGTGACACAAAACCTTTTCAAATACTATGTTTTTGGGATGTGTAAAAATAAAACCATGCTAAGTCACTTCCAAACTCTGGCCACTTTTAACTGGCCATGACTCCTGTACAGTTCATCTGCTGGAGAGAACATGAAAAGGTGCAACAACCTGGTTGTGTAAGTGTGAACACTCTTAAACTAAAACTTCGTTCAAGCTCTTATTCTTAATTGCATTCACGTTTTGTCAGGAGACTGTCAGGATTTCTCATCTTGACTCGATCAAATTCTCCCTTCAAAGAGACTCTTCAGACATCTCCAGTCCTCCTGCAAAGTTTCCACACTTTTTATATTCTGGACTCCAAAAACCTCCAGAACATTGATTTCCTTCTTATGAAGTCGTTTTCTGTTCATTTTTGATGTATTCTTGGTTTTGCTGCATATCTTTTTAAAAAATTACATTATTTTTTCATCTCCAGCTCACCGTGGCAGAAGGTCATTTTTGCTGCCTTTGGCAAAATGTGGACAACCCTCAATATGTTTATTTTGTTGTATTTTTGTTTTACAAGACGGTATGACTAACCCTATTTAGTCTTTAACTTGGACGGATCTGAAACCTCAGAGTACGTTTTTCATGTAGTAGCGCTTTTTCGCCACCAGAGGGCATTCACTGTCAGTTGTAAGATTGAGAGCGCACATAGTGGAGAGCAGGAAAAGATCCTATGAGGCAATAAAATTCATGGAAGTCGCCAGACGACCCTTTTTATATATACAAAATACAGTACTATACAGTTATAGCAGACACCTAAAAGTTTTGCCAACACTGTCTGCTGTTTAAAACAGATTTTACTTTGGCAAGAAGTCTATTCTGATCTTCATCTTGTTGAAGAAGAAACAGCACAAAATCATCCAAAGGATAGTTGTCCAGTGTTATTTTAAGGAAAGACAGCATGTAGAAAATGATTTTCACCTTCTAAATGAAATACATGAAAAACGTTTTAATTGGCCTTATTCCATATGTACCCTGGCTCATGAGCTCCAAGGCTGAGGTTGGAATGCCTCCTTGTTCTGGTAGCTCCCTCTAATTATTGGCATCTGAACTTCACTGATGGAAAAACAATAATCTTTCCAACATTATTGTACACCAGCTGACACATCTTTTTTTTTCAGGACAGAGCTTTGTTATTGGCCAGTTTTTATATATATATATATATTTTTCCAACATAAATGTCTCATTGGAATGAAGTTTAGACTTTTTGCCAACCATGTCTTTTAGTGAATCTGCCTTTGTTGAAGAAATTATTTAATGATCTTTGGTAGCAAGTTGCATTATGAGGTTTGATTCTGAGGATAACAAAGCCTATACAGTGTGGTATGCATAAAATATGTATTTTTCCCCATATTTTACCAGTTCATAACAACTTCTTCAAATTCAAAATCAAAAATATTTTACTAATTCCAAAAGAAATTAAATTTTACTTTATTTGAGACGTGAGAATAATATTCCATATAAAAATGACTGTACTATATTTGGCATTAGTATACTTGAAACAAACATTTAGGAAGGGACATCCCAGGACAAGTATAACCCCAGGCAACAATAAAATTACCTTTACATTTATAATTAACACGGCACCAAAAAGGGAGACCACACCACGGCAGATGTTCAAACAATAAGTTTATGCTTTGTTAAAAACTGGGCATAAAATTATTTGTCACCCTCACAATTAAATTTGCAGTTATTACCAATAATAGCACATAGAATTGTGACATGTTAATTAATCAAAAATTAATTAACATGTCTCTGCATGAGACTGCAGAGACAATTCTGCAGTCTCAACAATGATAATGAAGGAGCTCTTCACAGTTTTAGCCACACGATGGCACCAAAGACCACGGAACTGGAAACTCGGACGTATTGAGCCCTTTTCCGACATAATCGTTATGATTATTTAAATGTACATTATCTAAGTTCAAGTTAAAACACCACAAATGGAGGACACACCATGGAAGATATTCAAACAATAGAAGTTTATGCTTCAAAATTATTTGCTAAAAAGTTTTTTTTTCAACCTCAACTAATACATTTGCAAAGTTACACCATAGCATGAGACAGAAGGGTAACACGTTATTTAAGCAGAAGATGTCAATTCAACGCTTCAACATGCCATTGATAATAATGAAAGTGCTATTTTCAATTTCTTGCTTGAAGCTGCACTTCACATTTTAGCCACGCGATGGCACCAAAGACCATGGAACACATACACTTAGGAATAATGCCTCTTTTTCCGATACAATATTTAAATGTTTAAAAAAGTTTTAATCAGCCATCACTGCCAGGGATCTAAAACAGAGCTATTCTAACTAGATCCCCGATCTGTCAATGGGGAGAGCTTAAACTCTTCATAAAATTGTTTGTTTGTTTGTTTGTTACAACACAGTTACTACACTGTCATAAATTGATTGGCTGGCTGAAGATTAGGCTGGAAACCAGACAGCCAATCTGGTGATATCAGTCAGAAAAGCTAAGATCAAAAGAAAAACGAACAAAAACAAAAGGAAACTAGGTCAAAGAAACGCATGTCTAACCGTTCAGCCACACATATTCTGGTTTTGATCGACTCCGACCCGCAACAAAATAGAGAAACTGAGAGTAGAAAGAGGAACGCAATCGCAGGAGGATAAATCTGCCTCTGTTCCTAGAAAGCATCGTTCTAGTTCACTAGGACATATAAAAATTAGGAACGATACAGAGAAGATTCAGGTCCCTTACTGTCCCCCATCAAAAATGTGTTAGCTACTTTGCACTGAATATTATTAATATTATTATCACTATTGTTGATGCTTTAATTTTTTGGTTGTTTCTGTATTTATCATCAAAAATAATTTTCCAGGGAATAAAAAAGCCATGGGAATAAAAAATTTTTTTACAGGCGTCTACGAAAATGCAATGGACATTCAAGTTAAAATCGGTAGGCCTATCAGCAGCCAATCAGACCTGAGTGAAGTTGGCCCCCCACCTTCTTCAAATCAGACAAAATTGGTGTCAAACGTTTGTGCTACGGGGGGGGGGCAACTTCACTCAGGTGCCAATCAGTGGGAAAAAAATTCTTCTTCTGTGCCATTTTCTGATGTTAGTTGTTAAATATTGCACAAAATGACCAGATAAAAGATGTACAACAATACCAGTTTAAACCTTGAACTATATGTGAAAGACTGTGCTGTGCAACATTAAAACATGATAGAACTGCAACTAATCATAGCTCTTCTCTTCAGAAGAAAAGCTATGATTCTCTTCTTCTGAAAACAAGAAGAGAATCATCAGAAACTCTGGTGTTCTGCGGTACCGCCCCCATTGAGAAACAGTAGTCTATATAATGAGGTGGGTTTTTCCAGCTCTGCTGGGTTTTCAACAAGGCTTCAGCTCCCAGCTGATTCAACTTCATGTGATAACATTGGGAGTGGTGCTGCAAGCTCGACTGGAATACAGGCTATGCTGCTTCAGCTCTTAGTGGCTCTAACTTTTGCTGCCCATGTGAAAACTGGTAAGAAGTCACCCAGCTTTTAATCCTGTAATGCTGAAAATCTCTGTAGAAAGAACTGCATGGTTCCTCACTGCTTTTGAGAAACTGTAAACTCCAGTTCTCTGGGGGAGTTGGGTGTTATGATCAATGTTTTCTTTAGTCATTATTTATGAGCGGTTGATTGTGACTGTTTTTTTTTTTTTTTTGCAGTGCCTCTGTTTGACATCAACGTAGTACAACATGTGACCCATAACCCAGAGACATTAGAAGGTGAGGTCACGTTGTCAGTTTCAGCTGATGGTTTGGTCGGTCTTGGGTAGAAGGTAAATAAAACACAGTTTCAAGGCTTGGCTTTCATGTTGAGTGTATTCATTAAGGCAGGGGTGTCGGACTCCAGTCCTCAAGGGCCGCTGTCCTGCAGTATTTAGATGTGCCACAGGTACAAGACACTGGAATGAAATGATTTAATTACCTCCTCCATGTGTAGATCGGTTCTCCAGAGCCTTG